TCTCAGTGACTTCCCTTCGTTGTCATTGAGCCTCTTAACATTTCACCTTGATCTTGTTGGTTTAATTATCCCTTGGAGGTGCTTGTTGAAGCTTGGTAAAGAGAAAGTTTGTGCTTGTTGAAGCTTGGTGAGGATGGAGCCAATAGCTTGTTGAAGCTAGGGTTTTACTGCTTATTGAAGTTGAAGTCAGGGGCTTGTTGAAGCTGGTTGCTGGTGGAAGTTTACTGGTTTAAGTTGGAAGCTTGTTGAAGCTTGGTGCTTGTTGAAGATGAAGGTTGTTGCTGTCAATTTTTCTGTTGTTTAATCAACCTGTTGCTCTCAGAGCTGCTGCTTGTGCTGTTTGCTGTAGGAGTTTGGTGCTGCTGCTTGGGCTGCCTCCTCTGCTTTGGTTTTTGTTTTTTCTGTTGGCTTGTGCTGCTTGCCCCCTAGGTTTGAAGTGAATGTTGATTCACTTTGCCTGTTATATTGCTGCATTGCATGCATTTTACTGTATTTGCTTGCTTTCTTTTCTGTTTATCCCCTAGGATCTCTGATTTCCTCTGTGCAGGAGGGAATTATGACAGACATTAGGATTCTTATCCATGCATGACAACATTAGGTTAGTTTTATTCCCTTTTCAACCACTGGGTTTTTTAGAGCTTCTTTCTCTTCTTATCTCAAAACAATTCAAAAATACAGTAATAAGGTTAATCGACGTCGTACGTTACGAGCCTTAAGCTATTTGAGAAAAGGTTGCTAGAGGGTCACTCTTCAGTAATCTGACTGCTTAGTATGGTACCCTTAGGGTGACATGCGACGTAGTCACTCTCAAATCATAGTCTCTAGTGCGTCAGAGATTGCAAACAAACTAAAAAACACTTCTTTCGTAAAAAATTCAAACAAACATCAAAGTGTCGTTTTTGTCCGCTTGGACTCTTAATCAAGAAAAACCCTTTCATAAGGTAAAAAAAAATAGTCAGACAAGCTTGTGTCTTCCGTAGCCCGAACTACGTTTGCTCTGATCTTTCATGCTGTATGAAAGTACGTAGGCATAGGATGTCGTATCCTAGCGAGCAACCTTCCCCCCTTAACCCGTAGTTAGGCGAACTACGTTGACTCTGATTTCTCGTTCCAGACGGGAATACGTAGGCATAAAGTGCGATACTTTGCCGAGTCATTTTCTTTTCTTTTTAACCCAGACCTATAGAGTAGATAGAATAACATACCCTTAGATAGAAAACAAGTGTGGATCCCATCGAGTACGACGGACGTGAGGGGTGTTAATACCTTCCCCTTGCGTAACCGACTCCCGAATCCAGGATTTGGTTGCGATGACCATTCCTTTCCCTCTTTGCGTTAGGTTTACTCTGAGCATTTCCTTTCCCTTTTATGGGATAAATAACGCATTGTGGCGACTCTTCTGTCATAGCCGGCGTCGATTTTCGCAGTAGCGACAAATAGCGAACGTGATTTTGGGTTCTAGAGCCTTGTTAAGTTTGGCCTTGAGATTTCTAACCTCATTTTGCCAAATGTAACAAGTATCACACCCGGAGTTAACCACTCTTTGTCTTACTTCCTCGCAATCCACCTTTGTTCCTTCTATTATGGAAGCCTTTAGAGCCTCTAATTTCCTTTCAGAATCGAGAATCTTTTGCTTTAACTGAGCAAAAATTTGTTTGTTTGAGGCCAGCCGTTTAAAGGCTTCCTTGGCTTCATGGTGTAAGGTATCAAAGGCAGTTTGTAATTCGGAATGAGACAATCTAGTAGAGTTTTCATATTTTTCATGTCGTACCTTTTTGTTTTTCTTCTTTTGATGAGCAGAGAGACAAAGGTTGACGGATTCTTCTTTGTTACTAGAACTATCATCCTCGGATGACTCGCTATCGCTTTCCCATGCGATGTAAGCTCTTCTAGGATTAACTTGCTTCTTGTGTGACTGATTACTTTCCTTTCCTTTGTCCTTTTTCATCAAAGGATAATTCGGCTTGTAATGTTCGTCTTTTCCGCATTTGAAGCACGACCCTCTAACTCTACTTCCTTTGTTGTCTTCATTCTTAGAAGATCTTGATTGTTTTCTGAAATTGACTAGATTCTTTTCGGAATGTTGAATACCATTTTTCTTTACATAGAGATTGTATCGCTTCACAAACAACCTCATATCCTCATTTTTTTTCGTTATATTCGTCATCTCTCGAATCGCAATCACTCAGCTCTTTTGTATAGGACTTTGAACAAGAAGCCTTTAGAGCTATAGACTTATTTTCCGCATTTTTGTTCTTCTCCTTCTTTTCCCCTTTTCTCAAATTGCTCGAGACTAAGAAGCACTTGCTCGTGTTCTTGAAGCTTTCCAAAAAGTTTTGTAAGGTCCAAGGTCATAAGATCATTTGCTTCCTTTATGGCGGTGACTTTTGGTTGCCATTCCCTGGTAAGACATCTTAAGACTTTGTTAGTAACAACATCATTGGAAACTGGTCTACCAAGTGAATTTAGTCTATTGATTAGATGATAAAATCTCTTTTGCATGTCAGCAATGGTTTCTCCTTGCTCCATGTGAAAGAGATCAAACTCTTGTGTCAAAGTATTGATTCTAGCTAGTTTGACATCATTTGTTTCCTCATAGGCAACTTGTAACGAGTCCCACATAGCCTTATCATCAAACAATGGGAAACTATATAGTATTCATCAACTCCCAAGGAGGAGATCAAAATATTTTTAGCCTTTCAACCGTAATTGTAGTTTTTCTCGTCTTCATCAATCCATTGTGCTTCAGGCTTAGGCACAATCATGTTATTTTCATCGATCATGGTTATTTCCATAAGACCGTTCAAAATAAAATTTCATACCTTCCTGTCAATGAAATTTATATACACACGCATACAGTCTTTCCAGTAACTATAGTTTTCACCATTGAAAACAGGTGCTCTATTATAAGCCCCTTTTGGTTAGTTAGCCATTTACTAAGAAGTTATATGTGAAGCACGGAATGAATCGGTGTTCTTGATACCACTTGTTAGACGATGGTGCAGATCTAGAAGGGGGTTGAATAGATCACTTGTTAAAAACAGAGTCAGCGGCACCAATATTTGGACACAGTATGAATCGATCGGAGGGTCGACGCGAGCACTCCTGAGAGTAGACCATTTAAAATGTTTTTTGTATGAGTCGACCGAAACAAGTTTGAGTCGACTCAAAGACCTAAAATATGCAAAAATGCATATTGTCATGTATCATGCAACTTTTGAGGTACTCTATCACATAGTAAGCTAGACAAACTTGACCAAACCTATATGAAGCATATATTGAACAACTTCTATATGTATCAAACAATGTTTCTGAGCGATGTTTGACTCAAGAGGGATAGGGTATGCATATGTGACATAATAATACCGTCCAAAGTACATTTTTCTACCTATCTAAGTTTTGACATCATTAAAACAAGTGTAGCTACCTATGAGGATTGCCCTCACATTATTTAGACTATCCTTCTCAAAGAAGCACTAAGGCCCTTCATCACTAGAAGAAAAATAAAAGGCGTTAAAGGGTCTCCTTGCTTAAGACCATTTTAGATACTAATTTCCTCGGTAGGGCCCTCATTCACCAAGATTGAGAAACTACCCGAAAAAACACATGCCTTAATCCAAGTCCTTGTCAAAACCAAATCGCCCCAACATACATTTCAGGCAGGACCAACTAACAGAGTCGTAAGCCTTCTCAAAATCCACTTTGAACAAAAAAAACATCTGCCTCCTTTTAAGAAAAGCTTATTGCTCTTGGGAAATACGCCTCCCCATGACCATGGCTAACCTAGCAGCCGACACCTTAGCTAATATCTTATACAAAGAACAAATAAGAGAGATATGTTTAAAATCCCCTAAATCCAAAAGGGACTCCACCTTATGAACTTTTGTTTGCTAGGACTCACTATCCACCCTCTCAAAATTGGCATCCCTCAACCAAAAATTATTAAAGCGAATGGCTTAGGTCCCCATAGCTGAGACGGATACTTCAAAATAATCAGATAATGGTCAAACACATCTCAAGGCAAAGTTCAAAGACTACCCTAGTCCCACACATCCTCTCACTTAGCCGAAAGAAGTACTTGATCCAACCTACTCATAAATACCACATTCGTATGGAACCAGGTAAACCTCTCTCAACACGCAACAGATAAAACCTGAGAATCACTCACGAGCTCGAACCAAGAGATCTCATCACTATTTTCTCAGCCATCAAGCACTTCAAATACACATTGACTACAAAAAATGGTTGAGCATTCGCATCCCACTCAAGACACACCCCAAGATACCTCGGCCCAATACATTAAATACTAAAAGTGAAACAGCAAAAATAATCACCATAAAAAAAATATATGTATTTCTAGGAAAATATATTTAGAGATAGTACGATTAAGATTATGTGACATGTAAAATGATGAGTTGTCATCCTTAAAACTTTGAATACTCTTTTAATAAATAAATAAATAAATAAATAATAATAATAATAATAAATAAATAATAATAATAATAATAATAATAATAATAATAATAATAATAATAATAATAATAATAATAATAATAATAATAATAATAATAATAATAATAATAATAATAATATATTGGTACCCTCTTTTTCTATTTTCCAGTCTTTTTCTTGTCAAAATCCTAAAATTTCAACAAAAAGTACATAATACATAAATGAATCGTTGAAAATACTCAACATGATATGATTCTATTTTTAAGAACCAATGGTGTTAGTTATACAGTGAGCGAATTCCAAAGAAAGAAAAGTTTCTTGTAGCTACAATACAGGTTCACCAGTCACCACTTCACACTTGTTGCGGTCAACAACTATAACTTCACCCAAACTTAGATAAGTGTCTCAATATCTATCTATTTATAGCAATTCTCATTTACACTATTAATATTGTTTAAAACAAAAAATATCTAGTAAACAATTTTCATTTACACTAATAATTGTTATAATCTTCTATCTTCAGAGTTTTTTCTTTGAATGTTGTAGCCATGGTTAACACTGATATAATAAGAACTGTCATTGGAATAATCGGTTCGTGCACAAATTCCTCCATTATGTACAAAAAAAAACCTTGAAATATAACCATGTAATTTTTCATATGAAAAATATATTACCATTATTTATTTTTTGATAACATTGTTAATATATTTGCAGGAAATGCCATCTCATTTTGTTTATTCATGTCCCCCTTGTAAATTTCTCTACCATTTCTCTTCAATTTGCACCTTTTGAATGGATTTTAGCACTGATAATTAATGGTAAATAAATCTTTGTAATATATATGCAGGCCTACATTTATAAAAATATGGAAAGCAAAATCAGTGCAAGATTTCAAACCAGATCCATATGTGGTAACAATCCTTAATTGTGCAATGTGGACATTCTATGGAATGCCCTTCATAACTGAAAGCAACACTCTTGTCATCACAATTAATGGCTTTGGTTTCTTCCTTGAGATTGTCTACACTTCCATTTTCTTCGCATACTCAAACGGGAGTAAGCGTGTAAGAAACATTTCTTTTTTCTAGAGTCAGATGTCTCGTCGGTTTGATGTTTGATTTAATAATTTATTCATATTATCGATTTTATAACGTTGACTTAACTGGTTGATTGATTGGATGAATTTAACGAATTTCAGAAGAAGATCTTGTTGGCCCTTCTTGTCGAAGTTATCTTCCTTGCGGTGGTGATAGTTATTGTCATGCATTTTATTAACAACCAAAAGGACAGAAGGTTGGTTGTTGGATTTATATGCATAATCTTCAACATCCTTATGTACTTTTCACCCTTAACTGTCATGGTACGTGTGATTATTCAGTTTTTTTGGTTTGCAAAATAGCAATTACTGTTGCCCTTTTTATTTACTTAAAATTTGTTTCTTTACATATTGAAAAAAGCACAGAGACAAGTCATTAGAACAAAAAGTGTGAAGTATATGCCATTCTTACTTTCACTTGCCAACTTCCTCAATGGAGGTGTTTGGACAACTTATGCACTTCTTAAATGGGATCCATTCATAGCGGTAATCTATCTATCTTGTTCTAAGGATCTATATTCTATTTAACTTTTGAAATGGTTAGTCCTTTGATTAAGCTTTGACATTAATCTAACGATGCCTTTGAATGCATAGGTTCCTAATGGCTTGGGAGCACTTTCTGGATTGGCTCAGCTCATCCTTTATGGAGTTTACTATCGAACAACGAAGTGGGACGAAGACGCGCCGTCTAATATCAACATGGTATGATATCAGATTATCAGATTGGATTGAAGGGGAGACTGAACAAGTTCAAAGGAAAAAGTTGTTCATTTCAGCACATGCAGAGGACTCATGGGATTTTTCCCTTTTCTATTTTGTTTTTTAAGAATACTTATTTCATTTTGTTGAAATCATAGAACATTAGCGTTGATTTATTGTAGAATAGAATTACTTGAGATATATAGTGATTGTTTTGGCCACAAATCATGTATATGCTCATTTGAGTTTTGCCTACTTTTATTATCAGAGAGTATATAATCATAACATATGATAGGAAAAATCTATAATGCTTGTAGAAATACAAGAGACTAAGAGACATACGAATAAATCGTATGTTTTGAAAAGTACTATAGAGATATTATTATATATAAATAAATTACAATTAATTATATGATATAGTCGATGTGGGACTATTCTATATACAAATATTCTCGATACTATATATATTTACAAGTATCAACACTCCCCCTCAAACTTGAGCATATAAGTCAAATGCACCAAACTTGTTACATATATAGTTAGTTATGGGGGCTTCGTAGGAATTTTGTAAACATATCTGTCAATTGATCATTAGAGTTGACAAAGCTTGTGACGATGTCGCCTGACTCGATCTTCTCTCTGATAAAGTGACAGTCTATCTCAATATGTTTGGTCCTCTCATGGAAGACTGGATTTGAAGCAATGTGCAATGCAGCTTGATTATCACACATAAGTGTCATTGGTCTTGGTTCTTCAATTTGAAGTTCCTTGAGCTACTGTTTTAACCAAATAAGTTCACATGTTGCCATTGCCATGACCTTATACTCTGCCTCGGCGCTTGATCTTGCAACTACATTTTGTTTCTTACTTTTTCAAGATATAAGGTTTTCTCCAACAAGTACACAATACCCAGAGGTGGATCGTCTATCAATGGGTGACCCTGCCTAATCAGTAGCAGAGTATCCAATTATCTGGATATGCCTTTTATCCTCATACATAAGACCTTTTTCCTGGAGCAAATTTGATGTATCTCAAAATCCGGATAACGACATCCATGTGTTCCTGACAAGGGGAATTTAAGAACTGGCTTACCACACTGACTGCAAAAGAAATGTCTAGACGAGTGACTGTGAGATAATTCAACTTTTCAACAAATCTCCTATACCTTTCTGAGTCAGATAGAGGCTCCCCCTGATTGGGTAGTAGTTTAACACTTGGATCCATAGGAGTATCGGCTGGTTTAGCATTTAACAAACTCGTTTCTTCCAAAATATTCATAACATATTTTCGTTGAGAAATCACCAAACCATCTTTAGATTGAGCTACTTCAATACCCAAGAAATAGTGAAGTTTACCAAGATCTTTTGTCTGAAATTGTTTCGAGAGATGATGCTTCAACTTGAGTATTCCAAGATGATCACTACCAGTTATGGCAATGTCATCTACATACACAATAAGATAAATACACCTTTGGGGTGAGTGACGATAAAAAACAGAATGGTTAGCTTCACTACGGATTATACCAAACTGTTGTACTACAGTGTTGAATCTGCCAAACCAAGCTCTCGGAGATTGCTTAAGACTATAAAGAGACATGTGTAGCCTACAAACCATATTCGATGACTCCCCCTAAACAACAAACCCAGGTGGTTGCTCCATATATACTTCCTCTTCAAGATCACCATGTAAGGATGCATTTTTTATGTCAAGTTGATGAAGAGACCAATGTCGAATGGCTGCAATGGCTAGAAGAAGTCTAACAGGTGTCATCTTGGCTACAGGCGAAAAGGTATCGCTATAATCCAACCCAAAAATTTGAGTGTATCCTTTGGCTACCAAGTGAGCTTTAAATCGATCAATCTTTCCATCTGGACCAACCTTCACTGTATAAAGTCAACGACAACCTACTAAAAATTTCCCATGGGATAGAGGAACCAGTTCCCAGGTACCACTGTTTTGAAGAGCACACATTTCATCAATCATTGCTTGCCTCCACTCAGGGTGAGATAATGCTTCACCTGGAGTTTTAAGAATAGAAACAAAAGACAAAAAAGACAAACAAGTATACTACATAGGGGAAAGATGATGATAACATAAATCAATATAATATGAAAAAGGATTTCGTGTTTGACATATACCTTTATGAAGGGAAATCGAAAGATCAGACTCAGGTTGCAGGATCGAATCTGGTGATGGCGAGAGCGTCGGAGGAGATTCCGTAGTGACCTCAGGGACATGTACGACTTCAGGGACAAGTATGACTTCAGGGACAAGTATGACTTTAGGGACGGATAAGACTTCAGGGACAGGTACGACAGACGTTGGGTGACGACGCTGATATGTTTGAAGTGGGCGAAGAGCGGGGGGTCAACCGTAAGGGGAACTAGTGGGTAAGTTTCCCTAGAATGATGGGGGATAATGACATATGGGACTTCCGGAAGAGGTGTGAGAATACTTTCTTGTAGAGGTTCCGTAGTTACTTGGCTGGATTCAAAATATGGAACAGACTCGAAGAAGGTAACATCTGCGGATACGATGTATCATTGTAGAGTATGTGAGTAGCAATAATAACCTTTTTGGGATCGATGATAGCCAAGAAAGACACACTTTAGTGATCGAGCTGATAGTTTATCAAGACCAGGGGAGAGATTGTGTACAAAACACGTTGACCCGAAGACTCAAGGAGGAATTGGGTGGACTGAAGAGTTTGAAAATAGGATTGAATGAGGGATTTTATTATTAAGGAAGGATGAGGGCATGCGATTTATGAGGTAACATGTTGTGAGCACCGCATCTCCCAAAAATCAGATAGGAACATTGCCATGGAGAAGTAGTGCCCGAGTGGTTTCTACAAGGTGCCGATTTTTGCGTTCGGCTATCCCGTTTTGTTGGGGTGTATGAGGGAAAGATGTTTGGTTCAAAATACCATTAGATGATATAAATGTTTGAAATTGTTGGGATAAATATTCACGTGTATTGTCACTTCTTAGGGTACAAATAGATAAACCAAATTGGGTTCTTATTTCTTGATAAAATTGTTTAAAATGGAAAACAATTCATACCTGTTCTTCATTAAAAATAGCCATGTGCAACGTGAAAAATCATCAATAAAGGTTACAAAATATCTAGACTCAAAAGTAGACACGGTACGTGAGGGACCCCAAACATCGGAGTGAACTAAAGCAAAAGGGGACGCAACTCGTTTATTGACTCGATCGGAAAAGTGACTACGAGTATGTTTCCTTAACTGACAAGACTCACAATGTAAAGTGAATAATTTAGATAAACCGGGCATCAACTTTTGTAGCTTGGGAAGACCTGGATGACCTAACCGTGCATGTATAATGAGTGGAGAACCTATGGTGGAGCATGTGGTAGATGACGTAGAGAAGTAGTAGAAGCCTTGAGACTCACATCTGACGCCAATCGTCTGTCCTGAACTTCGATCCTGCAGAGTAACATTACTATTAGTAAAGGAGATAGAATAATTAAGGGAACGAGTTAAATGACTAACTGACAGTAAATTAAATGGGCAATTAGGTACATAAAGAACAAAAGTAACAAAGAGAGATGGTAAAATTTGAACAGTACCAATCCCTTAGGATCGGGTTTGAGAACCATTTGCGGCAGTTATAATAGGTAAGAAACCAGAGATAGAGAGGGAAGAAAAAAGACCTTTATTACCAGTAACATGATTAGACGCGGCAAAATCAAGAACCCAATGACCAAAAGGAGATGATTGAGAAAAGCAAACAGATGAATTACCAATGTGTGCAACCGAAGCAGTGGAACCAGAGATCTGATTAGTCTGACACGACCTGAGAAAATCCTCGTAGCTTGGCGTAGGGTTCTGAATAGAAGGTGAAGTTTGCATAGTTTCTGAGTTGTCACTTTGAGATGCAGTTACCTGGCGTGGGGGTTTGCCATGTAACTTCCAATAACGGTCGATAGTATGTCCAAGTCGGTTATAATGGTCACACTTGGGACGAGGTTTGGAGTTGTATGACCCTCCTCGAGGGCAATTCTGATTATTGCCAAGAGATGCAAGGACAATAGTGTCACCTGGTGTTGGAGCAATAGTGGATGGAGGGGAAACCGGACCAAACGCATGAGGTGTAGCCAAACGCAACAGTTGTTCACTAACTGCATCATAGTTAGGAACAATAGTACCTGATAAAATCTGGTTACGAACGAAGTCGAGTTCGGATGGTACTCCTTTAAGTGCCATGACCATGAAAATTTTACTCTATTGTTCGGCATAAGTTGTTGCATCTTTTGCGTACGGCATGAGGGTTGCGTAACTTGCTTTCAAGGCATCAAGCTTACTTAGATAGGTTTGCATATCCATATTTTCCATCTTCAGTGTGTTGAGTTTGAGGATGACACTGTATAGACAATGAACGTCGTTGGAGAAGACTTTCTTGGCCTTTTCTCAAACCTCATAGCAAGTGGAGAAGGCTTGATATTGCACTTGGAGGTTAGGTGCTATGGAGAACCATAACACGATAAGTAGAGAGGCATTTGTTTTCTTCCATTTAGCGAGTTTGTCGGAGGCAACATTTGTCAATTTTATGGTTAGGTGATCTTCATATCCCTGACCATGAAACCACATATCGACAGCACGAGCCCATATGTTATAGTTTGCTGATCCGGTTAGTTTTTCACATGTGATAAGCGAAACTTTAGTAAACGAGACAGAATCAGCGTCTCCCATAGCTTAATGACACAAAAAAACAGAGTGAAATCGAGGCTATTTGCACTGGAACACCGTTTTCCGTGAGCCGGAAAGTAAAACAGAGGCCGGATCTGGAATGGGTGAAGAGAGGCGAGTAGATCGGCAGAAAAACGGTCGGAATCAGCCGCCAGACGCGCTGGGGCAGCGGCGGGAAAAAGGGCGACGACCGGATCAGAGGACAACGAGTTGGATGGTGGGGTCGATTTTTTGAAACATCATCGGAAATTTTGTCGAAACTGTAACGGCGGCAAGACGGTTGCCGGAGAATTTTGAAAAGTGAGATGCAAACCAGAGTGACAACACGGTTTGCCACAAAAAAAATAAGTTTCTCACCGGAAGACAGTAGGTCAACCGGGTAAAGTACGGTGAAGAAAGAATTGCTTCTTAGTAGGCTCTAGATACCATGTTAAGAAATGTGGTTGGATCTAACTCAACCCTACAAAACCGGCTGGTAAAGTGAAGATTACCCCCATTTATAAACACATGTTCATGTCATATATTGTCCGATGTAAGACTCTTAACACACTCCCTCACGCTCAGGACTAGACAACTGAAGCCTGAAAATAAATGGTGGGTGGCCCGATAGCGAAAATCATAGAAGGTGGCCTACCGAATCTTAAACAAAGCTCTGATACCATATTGAAATACAAGAGACTAAGAGACATGAATAAACCGTGTGTTTTGAAAAGTACTACAGAGACATTATTATATATAAATAGATTACAACTAATTACATGATATAGTCAATGTGAGACTATTGTGTGTGTGCGCGTGAAAAATAACCATGCCAAAACATTCTACACCCAATTAGTGTATGACTATTATTCGGTCTGGCTTTTTTTATAAGCTCAAACACCATTAACCTACCATTACCTTTTTGAATATAGAGATTAGAATACCAAGCCAATTGATCCAATTTAATCACATAAATATGATTGCAAGTTTGCAACAGTATAATGTAATATATAAGTATAATGTAGATTCAGGTAGGAGGCAACATAGGCTGAAATTAATACCCATACCCACAAAACTCAAACCAAGGTGGAGAAAAAAAGGTAAGAGTAAAAGAAAATCAGAGGTACCAGCTCCTTCAACCTATACCTGCTACTGTGTATTTTTCTCATCTCATTACATAATTCAATTTCTGTATTCTCACCATAGATACAAATTTGATTCTTCAAATAGTGAAAAACCACTAAAACCAAATGGTTTGTTGTCGACTAAAAAGAATAGAACTTCATGGCCCTCTATGCTTGCGGAAGCATAAACAACCCTGCTGCTGATCACCAGGGATCATGCCTCCACCTCTGGATGTGTCGATGGCCTCCAGCATGGAGACAACCTCCTCCATCTCTGGCCGCTTATCAGGACTGGCATCCCAGCATTTCCTCATTACATTTGCAAGTGAACTTGGACAGCATCTTGGCATTTCTGGTCTCAAATTCTAAATTCCAACAGAAAATACTAATGTTATTATAATGGACTCAAAGACACTGGATGTACCACAGTGAGAATTATGGATTGCTTTGAATGAGACAGTAAATCAAAACAGAGTAGCAAGTATACCTGGCGAACAACAGCTGAAGTAATTTCTGAGAAACTTAGGTCGGGATATGGCATATCACAACAATATGTCTCCCATAAACAGATTCCAAAACTGTACACGTCACATTTCCTGTTGTAGGGGTTTCCATTTAAAACCTGTAATCAGCCAACCCCATTGGGAGAAAATAGTTAAATAACAGCTTTCTATTTGAAGAGTTAATATTGTTTATCTCAGTCTTTTTCTTTTCTTATTTGTAGTTACACACACTACTTGCAGACATACTAAGGTAATCATTTATTCTCATTGAGAACTCTTAGAATAACATTGGAGAATAGAGACAATCGACCCCAATTGGATGAAATTGAGGCTAGAGATTCCCATTCCCCATCGGACAGTCCTCCGCGTGAGATTTTGAGACAAAAAAGTCTCGTGAAAAATTTGGGCATATCTCTTTCTTCATACATTCACAAATTCTTAGTCTGATAAGTATTTAAGCACTTAGAGAACCCTCCCTTAAAAGCTAGATATCAAGGTATAATAACCAATTCACGTAAATACGCCACTAAGCATCATAGACTTGAGCATCCCATAATGGCCAAGTCTCTTCCATAGCACCGCACCGCCCCTGAGAACCGATGTCCTGGCGGCTGGCACTCTATGGTACTTTACACGACCTTTCCTGTTCTGAGCCACCAAAAACTAGTTCTGATTCCAGTTGATAAATAACTAGGCATTTGGAGAACCCTCTCTTAAGAGCTAGCTATCAAAGGGAGAAGAATCAAGCCACTTAAATACACCAGAGTATCCCATACTACTAGATGTTGGACTTGGACACCCCATAATACCCAGCAAGTCTCTATCACATAGAACTACCCAAGTCTCCTAACAGAGTCTTTTTTAATCTATAAAGAGAGATACACGAGGTTTTCACATGACAAAGCCATCTCAAATATTAACAAGAAAGATCCTTTCCTATTTAGACATTGTGTGCCTTTGTAATACGGCTTTCACTCTGTTATACAAATAAGCACAATCATTTATAAATTTAAATGGATTTTACAGGTACTAACTACACACCTCAGGAGCCATATAACCAAGAGTTCCAGTCTCCCCAGTCATATCATTAGGATTTGATGCCTCAACTCGCGCAACTCCAAAATCAGCAATTTTCACTGTGCGAGTCTTATCCAGCAGCATGTTCTCTGTCTTCACGTCTCTGTGGACAATCTTCTGAGAGTGAAGATAACTCAGCCTGTAAAACCAAGTGAGTTCAAGTTGAGTCGTTATATAGACAAATTAGGCGCATATTTTTTTTCCAATCTGCTAAACCTCAATCAAAATAGATAAATACCCTCTTGCTAAATCAAGCGCCAGCTGGATGACGACCTTAAAAGCTAACTTCCTCCTCCTGTTTTTTATCAGGTATGATTTCAGAGTACCTCCAGCAAGATACTCTACAACAACGCAGCAGACATTGCTTGGCATGCCAATTAGACCAGTATCAGTTTGTATCTGCAATTCTGCAGACCCCATTGTTGCCCCTATAAACTGAGCATGAAAACAAGATACTTTCAGAGAAGTGCATAATACCAATTGAAATGAGAGGAAGTAACAAAAAGTATCTTGCAAATATCACAAGATATCATAGAGCAGGAAGTAGAATATTTCATGAAGAAAAAGAGCAATGAGGGCCTTAGAGGCGTTATGATTATACTTGTTTTCTATACCTGCATGCATCTCTAGTTGCAGAAAAGGAAACTACAAAGAGAAGAACGCGCAGCATACCAAATGAGAGGACTTTAACGCAAAGAATATACAAAACATGCAATGAACAAGAGAACATGGTAAAAACATAAATTCTTCAGAGAACAGATTCACCATAAATTATAGAAGCTTTCATGATAAGGAAAATTCAAAACATGCCAGTGGCCTAGTTTTTTTATTTACAAGCGTTGTTCAACAGTAGAAAGGATGCTGAACCAAATAGAAAATGCCCGTTCACATCCATTTTTATCTTCTCAAGTGAAAGACTAATTCCAGTTTAAAGCACTCTGAAGTTGCGACAATTTATACATAGAATGATAATCATATCAAAACTGACTCTTTTTTATTTGATGAAAACGGTATTCATTCTTAGATCAACAGAGTATCTACACTTATTAACAATACATGATTTAAGTTCTATACTTTTATGGAAAGGATGTAGTCAAGTTACTAATCATATAGCCAACTTTATGATGGGTATGCTATTTTCAACACATATCTCCTCAAAACTGCTTTTGGAATAATACGAAAGAAGTAAAACTCCAAATATGTAAATATACATTCAATTATGAATTTTCTAAAATCTTTAGAATTCAAGATTTGTAGCATGTTAATAAAGCAATATTGTATGCAACCAATTTCACCAGTGCTTGAGTGATGTAATATTTCTCTGAAGAACTGCCATTGCAAATTACATATTACAACAATCTCATTCCGTATCACCATTCACCCCTTATCATCAAAACAACTTTAGAGTTCCATATCCCAACTTAAAATTAGGTTATCAACAGATGATCAGAAAAAATAAGAGAGAAAGGCATACCTAGGACAGTTAAGCTTGTGTTGTGAATAAAGTTCAAATAAAATATGATCAACATTTTTTTAGTTTCCACAAAATATAAGAATTTCTTATCCTTTACAAATAAAATATTATAGAATACCACTACATTGTGAAATCTGCATGCCTCATGTTCTTTAAATAATATGTAGGAAGAGTTTTTTATAAATTAATCAGTATTAAAGAGCCCTCGACAACAATCAAGGAAACCCTTTCAAAACTAGCCAGAAAAATCAAGCTGAAGGAAGAGCAGAGAAGGGAGGATGGAAGGAAGTGATGCCGCAGTTACAAAGAAAACTCCTACAAGTTACAAACATCCTTGAGTTTAAGAGAATTATTATCAAATGACCTAATTACTGGACATGCGTTACAGTGTTGTTAAATGGAGGCCGTGGCAGAATGGCATAACGGGTTTTTTGACAACCGCCATAGGCAATTTGTGAATGGACATTTGACATGGCGAAGCCACAGGCCATAAAGTGTGTTAATATAGCAGATTTTTGGCCTTCCACTATCCACAACTGAGTGGTTATCAGTGAATGTGAGTGCTATCTCAATTTGAAACTAAATTGGACCAAATCAATATAAATTGATATGCCCTTCTATTTGGAAATGAATTGCAACATAAATTTTGATTCATTTGAATGAATAGCAACATGCCCCTAAATCACAATTCACATTTTACTCCAGATGCAGCATTGAAATATGCAGGGTTGCACAATCCAGTTTTTGATAGACTTGTTAGGGTTTTTTCGGCTTTTTGTTCAGAAAATGACAGAATCTTCCACATGCCAATATTCCAAATAACCAACTACACCGTGTTTTGCTCTTACTTTTTTGTGGTATGCGATATATGAACTTATGTTTTTTTGCTTCTTTTAACAAATCAATTTATTTTATACTTCAAAATACCATATTTGTATTGGTCGTGTATCAAACAATTCATTATAACAATACAACATTAGATTCACAGTTGAAGAAATAGATCTTCTGATGATTCACGACAAGAATCTTGATTCGATAAACCACCATATGAAAATATGCCCAGCATAAGAAAAGAGTCAAGAATGGAAAGCAAATATGTTGCATGAATTCAATGGATATAATATGCAAAGGCATACTTAAAAAGGAGCACTGAATTGGATTTTCAAGAAAATGATTCTAATAAAGGGAAAAAAAACTGATGGATCTCATTCCAAATAAAAGAAAAATACTAAGCAAATAACATCAGCACATGCAACATTGAAACCACAAACTCATCACATAATATACAAACAATACAAACATAAGAAGTCAAATAAAATGAAATCAACCTTTGTGACATTGGGATGATCAAGTTTATGCCAAACAGCAACTTCCTGTATAAACGCTGCCCTCAGTGAAGAAACTTCAGCTTCTGTCCTTTGGCCTTCTTCACCCCAGTCAAGCAATTTAACTGTGATCATCAAGTAAGTAATTACAATCCATTATCAGTGAAATGCAGAAAATAAAATCCCTAACTCAATTTCTATCAAAAGAACAACCAACAAATAGAAAAACAACAACATTTACTACATCCACCCCCAAATTTGATACTATTCCCAAAAATTATTCAACCTCACAAAGTAATCGTAAAAGTCAACTCTTTTCAAGAGAAAAAAAATGTTTTTTAATAAAAAATTGATGGAATTAAGCATCTGAATCTGATGAGTACTAAAATTCATCCCAAAACCTAAAACAAAAATTAAAAAATAAAAAAATAAATAAATAAATAAATAGAGAAGAAGAAGAAGAAGAAGAACAAACCAGCAACATCTTGAGTATCATAGACACCACGATGAACGGTTCCAAAAGTACCACGAGCAATAACACTTTTGATAATAAGTTTAGAAGGATCAATTTCCCAATCCTGCTTCTGCTTCTTGAAGTTCGTTTTGAACTTAACAGGAGAATTCCCAGCGCTACTGGTATGAACTCGAGCATGATCAAAAACATTAGAAGCAGTAGAATCTTCTTCTTCAACGCGCTTTTTCTTGTCAATAATCAACACTTTGTTAAGGTGTCTCTCAAGCTGTTCGTCGATGCTTTTCAGATCAATCTGATCCGCTCTAACAAATCCATCACTACTCTCCTTCATCTTGTAATCTATGAATATATGAATCGATCAAAAACGAAATCAAAAAAATCAGAATTTTTAGGGTTCGAGATTTTTATTGATTCATCACCGTCTTCTTCTTCGTTCTACTATTTCTCTCTATCCATGTGAGCACATGGATTTGCCTGCTCAAAACGTGTGCCTCTGACCCACTTCACTCTTCTTCTCCTTTTTTTCCTTTTTTTTTTCTCCTTTTTGAGATTAATGAAAAAAATTTGTTACATATTATTTTCTTTTTAATTTGTTTTTTTTGTATTTTATTGATATTAAGTTTTACTTACTTAAGTGTTTGACTGAATTTTTTAGTGAAATACTTTTGTAAAAAATTAAAGTTATTTATTATTTTATTTTGAATTTGTACTTTGTAATTTATTTATTAAAAAATAATTTGATTGGTGATTATTTTAGTAGTTGTAAATAGTTTGATTGTGACTAAAAGTGTATTAAATGTTTAACATAATTTTGTATGGTTACGTGTGCCGCTAGAATACTACTAGTACTAGGAAAAAATCAACTTTTATATTTTGAGTAATTTTTGTTTTTGAAAAATATTTGTATGACGGTCAACTTAAATAAGATTCGAACAGGATTTACTTTACTAATTCATCTAGGTGAATCCGTTTCATTTTAATTAAAAATATTCTTTTTTCATTCATTAATCCCCAGCTAAACACACCCATAACAAATTTCATTTAGTAAATATTATTGTGGTCTCGAGATGTTTAAGATATTTTAAATAAATTAAGAAATACAAATAAATTTGGTTTGACTATAGGGCAATCTGTTTGATGAATAGTCTTTATAAAATCATTGATAAGATCATGACTTATAGATTAAAGAGGGTTAATGGTAGTATTATTTCGGTGGGTCAGACTGCGTTTGTGTCTGGGAGACAGATGTTGGATGAGGTTTTGATTGTTGTTATGAGGTAGTGGATGTTGCTACGAGAGATAAGAAATAGTGTGTTCTTTTCAAAGTCGACTTTAAAAAGCCGTATGATTGCGTTAATTAGAACTTTTTGAGAGCTATGATGAAGAAAATGGGATTTGGTGTAACTTGGAAGTGATGGATGGAAGCTTGTGTTTTTAAATGTCATTTGTCGATATTGATGAATGGTAGCCTTATTCATGATTTTGTTGTTAGCAAAGGTTTACGTCAGGGAGACCCGCTTTCGCCGTTTCTTTTTGTAATAGTGGATGAAGGGCTTGCGGGGATATTCAAGCAGGCTGTGGATTTAGGAGAGTTTAGGTTTCCGGGTGAATGAAGGTACTTCTGTGGAGTTAATTCAATTTGCGGAGGATACATTGATTATAGGAAGAGGAGGGTGGAGGAATCTTTGGTCTATCAAGGCTATCTTTAGGGGATTCGAACTAGTTTCTGGTTTGATGGTGAATTTCCATAAAAGTATATTAATTGGCATTAATACTAGTGTGCATTATTTGCAGGCAACTGCAAATTTTCTTACTTGTAAAATTGAAGAAGCTTCCTTTACTTTTTTGGGAATCCCTATTGGGAGTAACCTCAGACGAATCAAAATGTGGAGACCTCTAATTGATAAAACCACTTCGAAGCTGGAAGTTTGGAAAGGGAAGTTTTTTTCTATAGCATGGAAAACTACCTTAATCAATTTAGTCTTTTCTAGCCTGCTAGTGTTTTGGCTTTCTTTTTACAAAGCACCGGCGAGTATTTGCGGGGAGATTGATAAGATTCGTAGTCGTTTCCTGTGAGGGTAACGAAGTGAAGAACAAAATTCATTGGCTTAATTGGGTTTCGGTGTGCAAGAGCGGGGAGTTTGGGGGGTTGACATTAAGAGGATTAAGGAGTTTAATCATGTTCTTTTAACTAAGTGGAGATAAAGAATCTTGGCTGACAAAGAGTCTTTGTGGAAACGTGTTTTAATAGTGAGATATAGTCGGATCAAAACCTCAGTGTTTACTGAAATTGGTTTTAAATCCAGAAGATCTGGATCTAATTGGTGGAAGGATATTATAAAGATCAGCAACACTTTGATTAACACGGGTTCTAGTTTTGCAGGTATTGTGTCATATAAGATCGGTAATGGAAATTTGATTCCATTCTAGTATGCTAAATGGGTGGGTTCTGTGATCTTGGCTTAGCAGTTTGAAGACATGTTTTTGCATAGCAACCGTAAACAATATTGTATTGTAAACATGGGGACCTGGTGTGATAATGTCTGGGAGTGGAATGACCTTGGCATCCCGCAGCAATACTGGAATGTGTTTCATGAACAGGGACGGGATTTGTTAATGCTTCTTAATGAAGTATGCCTGAAGATCGATCAACTTGACAACCTGAGGTGGAAGAATGGTGAAATAGAGAAATTTTATGTCAAGGAGTTTTATCAAGAGTTGATAGAGCTTAGCCCGCAAGATTTATTGTCGGCGGATCAGTCTAGTGTTTTTGATTGTCTTTGAAAAATTCGTGCTCCGGCTAGAATTTTGTTTTTCGGATGGAGGACAATTTAGAAAAGAATTGCTACTAAGGATCAATTAATCAAACGCGGAGTGTCAAATTTGGATAGCTTATGTGTGTTGTGCGGTCAAGAAGTTGAAATGTTAGCGCACTTGTTGTTCGAATGTTAGTTGTGTCCTTCTGTTTGAGAGAGAGTGGCTATTTGGTGTAGGTGTTCGGATATATATGCAAGATGCACTTAGAGGTTTCTTTTGGACTGGTGTAGGGTGGGTAAGAACCGAATTGAAACGCATAAGTTAGGATTAATTTGGCTAGCGGTGATTTCGTGTATATGGAAGTCTAGAAACAACGTTATTTTTAAAGAAGGCACTTATAACGTTAATGATTTATGCTGGAATGTTAAGTTTTGTGCTTGGAGGTAGGCTTGTTGTGGGGAAATTTCTTATTCCAACCTAAGTTTTCTTGCATTTTCCTTGCATCCTTTGGGTGTTTTAGGGTAGTCTTGGTGTTGGTAGGGAATTTCCCTTATTTTCTTTTGCTGGTGTTTTAGTATGTCTCTTGTAATTGTCTGAGAATACTCTTGGTATTCTTTAATCAATGAATTGTTTTTAGAAAACAAAATAAAAATTAATTTTGTATAAATAATACAAATTATCTAGGATTTTACAGATTTCTTATTTATTAATGTTGTATTGGAATAATAAATAATTCACTTAAGGATGATCATGGATATTCATGAAGCGGAAAGTAGTTTATGACTTTCAATTAGTAAATATTATCGACTCGTTTCAAATTATAAAATGTTTTATATTTCAAACAACTCAATTAATTGTTTATAAAAATATAAATTATTTATGATTTTACAAAACTATTATTCATTAATTATATAGAAAAATCTAATTAAAAGAATTAGAGTGCATTTGTTTTAAGTTATAAAATAGTATTTCTTGAAACTTTATTCTTAGGATTATTATTTTTAGGAATAATATTTCTATGTAAGTGTTTGGTCAAAAATAAGAATGTTTACAATATTTATTTGATTTAAAAATTATAAAAAAATAAAAATGAATGTGAGTAGTAGTAGAAAATTGTAGGTAGTTACATTTTATTCCCATGGAAATGTTGGATTCTCATCCTTTAAGTATGAGAATAATTATGGAAAAATTTATGCAAAATATCATTTTTGTTCCCTTAACTATACATCGGGTTTATTTTGGTCTCTTAATTTTAAAAATGTTCATATTGGTCTCTCAACTCTTCAAAACATTTCATATTAGTCCTTTTTGTCCTATTAACGACGGGAAAATTCAAAAATCAGGCGCTAATTAGAAAAAAAAAGGCTAATTTAGAATGTTTTGAAGAGTTAAGGGACCAATATGGATCTTTTTAAAGTTAAGGGACTAAAATGAACTCTGGGGTATAGTTAAGGAATCAAAAAGGGTATTTTACCAAAAATTTATATATAAAAATATTTCTTTGAATAAAAAATAACCGAGAATAATTTTTAAAAATTTAAAACAAACATGAGATTGATACATTTTCAATGTTAGATTCTCGAGAATCCAATTCCAATCCTTGAAACAAACATACCCTAGAAGATATAATAAATAGTATATGTTATATTGGAAAAAATTAATATTGTATTCGAGTTATAAAATGAATCATAAATTGGGATAAATATCTTTTACAAAGTGAATTATAATTTGTGATAGATTGAGTATGATACATTGATACTCGTACTCGTCTTATATCCTTGTGAATATTCTCCAAATAGATATCCGTAGATTTTGAGATATTCACGGGTATTTACGGATATTCATAAATATTATTATTTAAATATTTTTTGTTAGAAAATAATTAACTAAATTTTTTTCTCTCCTCTAAAAACAAAACAAAAAAATCAAATTTAACACATACAAATAATAATAAAAATAAATCACATTCATTTTATTTCTTCTTTTATCAAACAATCATATTGTACCCTTAAAAAAATGGTAACTAAGTATTCATTTATTTTACTCGTGCATATCCATTAAACTATCTGACATGCGTCTGAAACGGGTTTTATCCATGGATACAAATTTTGTTCTCATTCCTAAGTTAAGTTCACCTTGTTATTGTAGCTTTTATATAATTGTTAGGAAATCTACTATATGCATATGAAATCTATACTAAATGATATTTATACTAACAATCTAAATGAATAATCACTTTATTAACAATTTTACCATATTTTTAAAATTACACATGTTATGTCATGGAATCAAAAACATGTATAGAACTACAGTGGAGTGAGACAACGCATTAGGGATAAATCTACAAAATTAGCATTTCGACGTTCAAGTCAGTAGATAAATAAGAAAATAATTTGAGTGTGTGAATGAGAGAATATATAGAATAATGTGTGTTGTGTTAGACGATAGGCTACGATCTAAAGGAGGTGAATAGATCGTAAATGAAATTTTCTTGTTTAAAAATTTGTTTTAAAATTGTTTAACAATGGCTAGTGAAAACAATCTTGAATCACAATCGTCTATTCTAAACCGTTA